ACTTTTACTAATTGACCAATGTGAGCAAATTTCACCAGCAGGGTACATTACAGGGTTGTAGCACACTCCATATTCATACTTAGAGAAGCAGTGTTTATAATTCAAAAATGGTTTCTTTGCTGTTTGACGTCTCACGATTTTCTAATTTTATAAAGGGCTGGTAAAACCTAAATCCTCAATATGTCATTTAGGGAAAAGAGGCGTGACAATAGAAAAAAACATGAACAGTTCACTCCAAACAGGTGAAAAAGGGTAAAAGTACTTGAGAATTGAATCGAGAAAATTTTTATGTTCGTACTGCCATGTACATACATAAATAGATACATAGATGGAAGGAGATAGATAGAAAGAGATATATATATATATATATAGAGAGAGAGAGAGAGACAGAGAGAGAGAGAGAGAGAGAGAGAGAGAGAGAGAGAGAGATAGATAGATGGATGGATAGATAGGTATTTTTNACCACCCTAGCCATCGCGACCTCGATCCACCCGGTCGCCAACTCCCCATCACAACCTTCAACCTTTCGAATTTGAAAGTTGTTGAATGAAATGGCAAAAAGGAGGGAAAATTCGACCTGCTAAAATGTGTTGTTGTTGATCATTGTTATTGCTGCCCGACTTGACGGTGAATCGAATTCTTATATCGTTTTGTATACGATATTAGCAAATATCACCCCCCCCCGGTCCTGGTAATAGAAATTAACCATATTCTACCTATTACCATCTTCGATGTGGCTAGAGTTTTTTGATTTAGGTGCCAGATTACCTAATGCTTAAATGGGGCAGCATGCTAATTGATATTTAAGAGTTAATTTATGTTGCACCGGGGAGTTTTTTTTCCTGCGCAGTCATTATTACATATTATTGTCGGATACCCTAAAGCTATTAGAAAACCTATTTTATACCACCAATTTGTAAGCAGCCTGTGCATCGTCAATTTAGAAATTTAACCAAGACTATAAGGATGTTTTACTAACAAAAACAGTTTATTAAAATTACTCTATATTTCAGTATCAATTAGGTATCGAATAAATGGACTATACTGATTAGTAACTGGGCGTTAACCATTGCTAAATTGTCTATTTATTTTAAAGGTCGCCTTAATGGTAAAATGAAAAAATTCCCTGAAACAGAACTATGAACACCCTCTATAATGGGAAAATTTATGGACATAAGTTATTGTTGATGTAAACAATTTCTAAAAAAGTAACGTTCATGTTTGTTTTGTTCTGTGTTTAATATTTTTCGATTGTTGAATCAAAATTATTCTGTTGTTCAAAATGGTGAGTTGCCCATGCTGTAGAAATTTGTTTGGGTTTTTTGCAATCATAGATATGTTGTTTTACCCTCTTATCTAGATATTTGGCTGTAATTCCGATGTAACTTGGCTTACAATTTATACATTTGATGTTTTAATTTACATCGCACTTATTTTTTTCTGGTGTGGGATTTTTAATTTTGGACAAAAGGGTTTGATTAAACCTAAAATTTCTATATTGGTACTTCATTGTAAGTATAAATTCATATCTTACATGTATAATTTAAATAATGTTTATAAATCCCAGGCCCTGAATATGATTTCAATAATGTTTTTTTAAACTTAGATCACACCAGACTGCATCCCACGATCTCTAAATAATTTCTTTACTTAACGGTCACTAAATATTACACATAATCATAAATGCTTTTCTTCGCAATGCAAATTAAGGTCTAATGAACTTTTTTGCTACTCAATATACATAGATAGATAGAGACTCTAACTGGTTGCTCTTAATTATATATATAATATATATAATTATATAAGATCGTCATCAGATATATATCAATATATATATATATATATAAATATACATAGATAGATAGAGACTCTAACTGGTTGCTCTTAATTATATATATTTGTATTTTTGTATATATATATTGATTTGAGAATGAACTTTGAAAAGTGGTCTAATCTGACCCGGTAAACCTTTGGGTGTTTATACGTTCGTGTACAACATTCGGTACTCTTTTTAAATTTTCAAATCTTTCTAATTTTTACAATCCTATTATTATTATAAAAAATAATAATAATTTTTAAGGGTGTTTTAACGGCTAAGGTCATTTCACGGCCTAATATTTAAACCTTTCTTAGATTAGCTTCATCCGTTCTGAGTGCAATAAAGCTCTGACTCCAAAATTCACTCATAAACTAATCTATCAAATTGCCATCCAAAGCTGTAATTTAGCCTTTAAAAATTTTTAATTCGGAAGGCCAAATGTATGCAAAATTTTAAATTACAAACTTTATTCCGGTCCTTTAATTAGAATTTCGAATTCTTGTTCCATAACGTAGACAGACTAACATCAGTCTCAGCATTGGCTCATCGTTATCCTTTTATTCTTCCATTTAAATACCATAAATATACTAATGCTACTTAACAATAATAATAAAACAAAAATACAATAACACTTCTTTTTTTATTTTTAAAAAATTAATTAATTTTTTGGAGGTGCAATCTTTACTTATTTAAACTGCGATTTTAGGCATTGTAGTACCCAGCAATTTGTACTTTCTTTTATTTAATATGATTTCATTTTCCGCTCCAGCAGCCTCAAAAATGCCTCAAAAAGAAAGAAATCTTGCACGCAGAACTCTCATCCAATCACTAGCAGGGAAAACATTCAAAGGTATAGGAATTTGTGAAAAGGCTTAAATCTCATTATGAATTCCAATAAATTTAAGAAAGCTGACAAATGCGCTTTGAAATAAACACAGAGGACTTAATAACTCCTTTAAATCAATCGAAAGATCGAGCCTTTGCCTATAGGGCTGCAAAGTGCGACAGTCGACCAAAATTTGTTTTCCAGTCAGAATGATATGTTTTCCACTTCGAATACATCGAGGACAAGTTGGTAGGTTGTTGCCTGTGAAAAGCCTATTATGAATTAGTCTGATCCTATGCGCAAACTAGACATAATCACAATTTAATTTCTCTCAAGTTCCTCAGTTGGCCATCTAGTACAACTCGCTTTGAAAAAATTCTTATTTGCTTACATGTTCATTCAGCTGGCATTATTTAATAAATCGTCAACAGTTGGATCGTCTTGGAACATTTCGACCAGACTCGTTTAACCATTTCGCAACTTTCAGTGCATGTATGTGTTGACATCAGAAACCGGATCGTCTCAGGTCTGCCTGTCCTCGCTGTCAGTATCGGTTTTTAATCGTTCGATCGTTTTTAAATTAATTTACATTTAAAAATAAACATTTTCCCCACCTAAACGATCGACTTAGTTTTATTTTAAAAAACACTTAAATAATACTAAATCAGTACACATTATTTTCAAAAGTAAATAGTAAATGTGTAAACTTCGTGAGGTGTTTCAAAATATATCAGAATATATTTAAAACAAAATCATTGGAAGCTTTTGTTTTTTAGCCTCTAAGATGGATTCTTTATAATTACATACCAAATACACAGTTTTCTTTTTTCAACTCGACGAGGCCAAACAATAGCATTGAAATTTTGACAAATAGCTGTGCTCTGATCGCAATCTTTCTGTTTAATATGCTATTATTTTTTCCGTTCCACACTGTCTCGGATAAATTAACAAATCACTGACATCCTATCATTCATATTTTTAATTAATAATCATCAATTTGTTTAGAGTAATTTTAGACTAAGTACTAAAATCGTTTTTTTTTTAATTTTGTTTTGTCTTTCTGCACAAATGCTCTTGTTTAACGAAAATTAAGTAAATTAAAATTAGTAATGTAAATGCGCTTTTATTTTGTTTAAGAAAATAATATAAAAGTAAGAAAATAACCAAAATCGAAACGAGGCCAAAGAGAAGATGGAAGTAAAGTATGAAAAAGTTGTAAAATTCATAGGAGCAATTACATAGTGTTTAATGGTTTGTTTCTTATCTCTTGGTAAGATTATTTTGGGTTTTTTAACCAGAAGCACTGGGCGAAGATATTCGGTGCGTTTTTTTTCATGCAATAATAGCCCAAAAGGATTAATTAAAGTGTACGAACAATCAGATGTTCTCAACAGGCCAATACGTCTAAAATTATAGCAGGGTCTCGGTGATAATGCCGAAAACACGAGCGCGCACAGAGTTAGACACAATTTTACACTCAATCAAAGTATTTGTACTCACTCCAAAGTGTTCGTTTTCTGTGTAGTTTGATTGAGTCTAAAATTGCTAGCATTGTATATATATAATGTTTATAAATCCCAGGAGATGATCTCAATGAAGATCGAAACGTTGGCACGATAAAGAAAATGTTTTTCTAAAACCTACGTCACACCAGACCGCATCTCACGATCACCAAATAATCATTAACTAATGGCCACTAAACACCACACATTTCTAATTTCATTGTTTGAAATAACATAAAACCCATCCAATATTTCGGAGAGAGGAATTTGGATTTTTTCGAACGTACAGTCAGATATTCAGCTCCTCGTCGAAATTACGCCTCCGCTTTCTTTTTGCCGTAACAATTTACAATTTGTATGCAACATTGTTTTTATCGCAAAAAATCCTTTAAAATGATATGTCATGATGTATGGTAGGGTATATTTGAAATTTTGAAGTTGAACTTGACCTGAGGTAATATTTCTCCAAAAATTGATAAAAACTAGACTAAAAAATATTAAAAACGTATTTTTTCGTTCAAATTCAGCCGGGCCATCTGAAAAGGACACCTCGTATGTATTTAAAGATGTCGTCTCAGGTCGGATCTCCTTGCTGACGAATAGTAATCAACTAGTGATATGAAAGTATTAATAATATTGAATATTTGCTCCACTTAATGCTGCCATGTATTTAAATATCCTTAAACTACATGTTGTAATAAGAAATTTCCGTATCTGGTTCACATATCCTTGATATAACGTTTGATAAAAAAAATCATTGGTGATTATATTGCTATAAGGGACTGTTTTAATTTGAAATGCTAGACGAATAGCAGTTTTGAGAAGAATTAAACAATTGTTTTTTTTATTCCAGGTGTGCGGTGGCATGGACGAGGAATGGGCTCATGTAGGTTGACTAAAAGTCTCCAACACGAGCCCCATGGGAGTCTATGAGCTACACCCACTGAGCTCTCCAGGCATGCATTGGGTGAGTACAGAACGTTGTTTTTTCTTTTATTTTAGATTTGTCCAGAGGCGGTATGTGAGCTACTGTTTTCATGCTTGGAATGGCTGCGTGGGAGGCGGTCTCGACGAGACGGCTTCCCCGATTGGCTCTCGAACCGATCGCCGTCTAGGAGATAAGATCGACAGGGCATAATGCCGGACTTCGATTATGGATACATGTCGAGTTGTTCTTCCACTCCATTCCAACCGGGTATACAGCGTTTTAAAAAAAAGTTTTAAAATTAGCGCAGAAAAGTTCTTTAACCTGATCAAATCCTTTATTGATTTGGAATTTTTCAATAAATAAACATTATTGAAATAACCAGTTCCGTTCGAACTAATAAAATATGGCAAAAGAAAGCACAAACATTTTTACTACTTAAACAAGACCATTCTGTGTTTCCATTTAAAAAAAAGTTGATACACTCTGATGTTTAATGCAATGACTTTAAAATCCTTTCTTTAAAAAAAAACTTCTAACACACAACAACTAGACTCATTCTCCAATAATGTAGTCGCGCCATGTCTGAAAAAAAATGTCAACAAAAATCATAATTGACCCAGAACTTGATCCGTCTACATTCGTAGGCTTTTGGGGTTACTCAAAGCGTTTCAGCTTTGACATCTTCAGTGTGGAATTCTATTTTTTCTAATTTATTCTACAAAAACCGATTTGTACTACACAACCCCTGCGCTTTCTTCAAACTCTTTGATGAAATTCTCAAAATTGCCTTGCAATTTTTCAGAGTAAAGTACACTGGTTTTCTAAAAAACATTGATATCTTTTTAGTAATGAAAAGAATTCAAAGTTTCTATCTTTATTGAGATCATCTTTCATCTTCAGGGCCTGGGATTTTTATAAATATTTTTTAAATTTTTCAAATACATGTACAAAAACATTTTTCACATCCTACATGTATTTGTAAAATTTCAAAAATGTTTATAAAACCCAGCGCCCTGAAGATGATCTCAATAAAGATCGAAACGTTGGCACCATAAAGAAAATGTTTTTCTAAGTCCACATCACACCAGACCGCAAATCACGATCAAAAAATAATCATTAACTAACGGTCACTAAACACCACGCACAGATTGAAACCGTTTATGTTGTTGATTATGATTTCTTTAATTTTACTTTTCAACTTGTCTTAAATTCATATGAGGAATTCAAATCTGTTTGAAAACAGTTGTCTAAATAAAATTTCAATCGTCTGTCAATATAAAATTGATTAATTTTTGAATTCAAGTTTAACCCAAACTCAGATCTTTCTGAATAGTCGACGCGACAATCTAGGTGATAGTGATACACCAATCTCCCCTGTGGACATCGTCACGTGATCATACTGTGATCCGCGGATCCGCCGTGCCAGTACAATATAAATCCAAGAAAAATAAACGTAATAAAACGACCTTATAGACGTTGCTCATTTTATAAGAAATTCAGTGTTTAAATACTAGCAATTGATCTTTTATTGGCCATCGTGAAAAGTAATAAAGAGATTCGATCTGGTGAATGTTCTCTCTTAAGGTCTCAAGAAGAGTCAATTGTAAATGACGTGATCATACTTTTCTAAAGCATCAAAAATGTCGTTTGTCGACTTTAACATTACTTACGCTTGACTATAAAGATAGAAATAAAATTTCAATTATTGAACAGTGATTCTATTTTTATCGTTTCTTTCTGGTCTTAGTTATAAGTTAATTATGTTATTCAAACTCGGTCCAATTGTAATAAAAGTGATATAAAATAAATGATAGAAATTCTAATTAAAGTTGTTAATAGCTTTATGATTGATGAATATTTGTAATACATGCAAAATTATATGTTATTTATTTAAAGAACAACAAATTAAAATAAATTTACGAAAATGGTAAATCTTTTTGGGATTTTATTTTGTAATTTTATTACTGATAACGTTTTTGGAAATAGTGAAATGTTTTCATATTGTGAATCTGAACTTTGGTTGTTTACGAACACTTTGGTCCGCCTTTCCTCGCTGTGTTGTATGACAGACGCGTTTGACCATTTGGAATGAACTTTGCAAGGTGATCATTGCTAATCTGTTAACAGTTTGTTACGAATTAACCCGATTCTATTGTACGCTTATGTCAGTCTTCCAAATCAAGCTAAAACTACATTTTCGTTTTAAAAGGTAGATAATACATATAATATTGCACTTTCAAATTTTTTTTAAGTTTCCTTTTTAAAGAACTAACGTTGCTGCTAAATTATTCCTCGTACAGTCTGATTATATTATAAACTGGTCGAAATATTACGGTTTTAAAATATTACAAAGTTTGCCGTTTCACATGAAAATCCAATGTTTGATGGAAAATTGTTCCTGGTTAATTTGTGTACTCCTTAGTGAGAAAAAGTGGTGAAGATTTGAATTTCATGTAGTAACGTCCTTAATTTAAGTTTCTTTTGGTAAGCTGTGTTTTTGTACACTTTTCGCTCAATTTTCTTCCTTTTAACAGGTAAGTTTTAGTTTATCACAAACAGTTTCCCATTTGTGGCAAGGGCAGAGCAATGGAAATATTTATGTATTCAGCCTCTTCAGGATTTTGTGACGGACCATACTGAATATAGAGAAATGCTATAACGTTTAACAGACCAACCCAGTGAGGATAAAAACAGTTCAAAACGATCTGTAACGACACAATTTTTTACTGTGTTCAATAAAGTTTTATAAAGTTATTAATTATTGTAAAATACTGCCTAATCCTTTTTTGTCAATACATTTTAATAGTTAGAACCGTTCTTAAATTTTATGGAAATGAAATATTTTACGTAACGATTTATTTAACACAAATTGTTCGGCTTGGAAAAACGGTCATTTGAACATTAAACAACATTTTACCGTGACAGCATAATGGTTTATTATTCTACCTCGTTTTAACTGTAAAATTGCAATAAATTCAATCAAAACAGCAAGATAAGCAAGAAAGTGTTCCTAGAAACGGAAGTCATTTTATCTTTATCTGGAATAGTTTTGTTCCACCCGATAGCAGTTACTTTAAGAATTTTTTTAAAAATGCAAGACAGGTTGATATAATGATTTCTTTATTATATATTAATAATCAATATAGTAAAATATAAATTAAATATCAGAAAACATTATTTAATTGATCGTTAAATCGATAATATAATTTTGAATAAATTTACGAGAAAGCGATACTACAAGTTTTGATACGGCTGATTGCCTATTCCAATTAACCAATAATCCATCACAACAACACAAAAAAACCCTAGCGGCGCCCGTCGATTGTTTTGCTTTTAATTACAGGGCTGTTAAATTTTATTGACCGCCGCGATCGAATCTGGGGATAATCTGGTGAATTAGACGAATTAAATATTCGCCTTATCATCATCGGCGGTCGGACAGTTTCGAAATGGGTCTCAAACCGTCTAATCTCACTGGATATCCTATGACCCTCGATCACCCAAGCCTTTATCTAATCGAATTGTTTTCTTCATCCTCAAAACACAGATCCCGGCCGACTTAGAAATCATTAAAACTACACGTTTGTTAATTTGATGTTAATAACTCTGCCGATCGTCGCTTAATACCCATTAATGCACCAGATAACGCAAGACATGCATATTTTATAACTATTGTTTTTAAAAATATTATTTTACGAATTTTCTTTCATTTTATCCCATACCTTAAAAGATCAACACTAACTGGACCATCCAACTGATTTAGTAGCAAAATACCGATTGTAGCCCGACAATATCTTTCGCACTGCCTCCAACAAATATGATAATAAAGGTGTAAAGGCAAAGAGGAAAATAAGCTATAAACTTATAAGCGAAACTATAAATAAGCCAAACTAAGTTTAGGAACCAACTGATAGACCATTAACTCCATTTGGTGTCAATTAAAGAGAATTATCATTAAAAATGTATTTATTTCCGAAACAGAAATTACAGATAAATAGATATGCACATAAAAGGGATAGATAGATAGGTAGATGGGTAGATGGGCAGATAGGCAGATAGGTACACAGATAGAGATATAGAGATAGATAGATAGATAGATAGATAGATAGATAGAGAGAGAGAGAGAGAGAGAGAGAGAGAGAGAGAGAGAGAGTGAGGGAGTGGGAGAGGGAGGGAGAGAAATAGGTAGAAAAAATATAAAGAGAGAAAGATAGATAGATAGATATTTAGATAGAGAGAGATGTATAAATAGACTAGTAGATAGACATAGATAGATAAAGAGGGAGTGAGAGAGAGAGAGATGATGTGAAAGAGAGGAAGATAGACAAAAGTTAGATATTTTGATAGAGAGAGATATATAAATAGACTGATAGATAGATAGATAGATAAATAGATAGATAGATAGACAGATAGAGAGAGAGAGAGGAGGAGAGGGAGAGAGAGAGAAAGAGTGAGAGAGAGAGAGAGAAATAGATAGAAAAAAGATATAAAGAGAGAAAGATAGATAGATATTTAGACAGAGAGAGATGTATAAATAGACTGATAGATAGATAAATATAGATGTACCATTCATTCAAGTAAAGTGTAGAGTAGTCGATTTTCATTCAGCGGTCTTCTTTTACTTTCACTCTAACAGATACATTCACTCACTTATACAAAATTGAACCTATGACTTCTGAACCCGCTTTGGGTTTTGGCGGTGTGGGGTTAGACCTCCGTTTTGTCGCTGAAGGGTGTCAACTAACTAGGTAATTTCAGCTCCCAACACAGTTTTTAAACCTACAAGGGGAACAGCACGGGTTGGTGGGTCAGATTGGTTGTGAGTTGGTGGGTCAGGGTGGGTGAGACTAGGCTTTGGTTTTGCCAAATTTTTTTAAAAAATATTGTCAAATAATAAATTGTTCAAATCAACTAAGTGAATATTTCATTTTATTCACTAGTCCGCTTGACCAATTAGAATCTTTCAATTAATTAATGGCAAAAATGTAAAAAATTATAAAATCAATGAAAAATGGCAAAAAGGAGGGAAATTCAAAAGC